TCAAGTTAATATCAAGTCAACAAGACTAACCGGACCTAGACATGTTGACGAAAACATATTTAGATATAGATGGATATAGAATGGTTTGATCAGTTAGCTAGAGTTTGGCTGCTTGTGTGTGCTTTATCGTTTGTACGTAAAACCGGCTATAGCTCAGTGTAATTACAAAAAAGAGAAAAATAACAGAAAATGACATTTATCTTTTTTTAAATTAGAAAGGCTAAGTCCTTGCTTGCTGAAACCTTGTATACCTGAGTGGTAACATCAGCCTGCAGGTCGTTTGCCGCATCCCCAGATGCCAATAGACCAGAAGCATCAATAGTGTTGGTGTCGGCTGACACCTCGGTTACGGAGGATTCATCTTTATTTTGAAGTGAGTTTAGAGATTGCGGACAATCTTGCTGTCCACAGAATCCATCTGGAGGAGCAGAGAGTGGAGAAAATGAAGATCGGCCTGTCTCAGAAAGTGTTCTAATGAAAGCGTCGTCTCCTCTATGTGCAATAGAACACGAAGGGGTGGGCTGAGATGAAGGAGTAGTTTCAAGCTCGAGCAAGAGCATCGCCGGGGTCATTTCAGCATCTTGTGAGAAGCCAAGAACCTGACTATAAAGAGGATTGTGCTGGGCAGCTGATCGAACTTGCTGCCAAGTCCACTCTCGCTGGCGAGCCTCTTCAATTTCACTAAAAAGGATAAAAACCATGTTTACGACTAGATAAAAAAACTGCATTAGGGGTTGAAAAATGTAATATCAATAGCTAGTGAGTCCCCGTTTTCCTGGAGAGAATAAAAGCATACATTATTTTATGTGCTAGTAAATGAATAAACAAGAATAATTAAACTAAAAAAGTGCACTGAACCAGCTAGCGAAGCGATTAGATTACGGTTTATTATTAAATTATGATTCCTAGTTCAAATAAAGTTTATAGAGAAGCAAGTATGCAAGAGATAGTTAATCTTAACTTCAAAAGACCAATATTGAAGTTAACCTCAGTATGATATGAGGATATTCCCTGAAATCGAACCTTTTATAAAAGGAAATTAGAATCAT